CAAGGTTCTTAAATTGTTCTAAAATTGCCGATGGTTAGTCTTTCAGAAATTGTTTTTTGTACTGCGCATGCTCTAAAGTGATTGCGCCAATGGCTAAAATGAGATCCGAATGATTCAAAATGACCCAAAAGTTTGTGATAAGAAATAATGCTCTTCAGGCCCTGAAAATATCCATTTCTTCTTAACACCCACTCTCACTTGTTGAGTAGCAGACTGTTGTAAATCTCATTGTCCAGTACGAAAGTGCTAATGCGTGTCAGTGACAAAGTTGTTCTTTAATTTATTTTGTCCGTAACTATTTGGTCTATTTCTGTTCTTATTTTGGTTTGATGCACATGGCGAATGTATATAATTGGTATAAATTTCCGCTCTTCTTCAGCTTCTGTTGTCAGTTTTTAAGGGCACACCGCATACACAGTGTCTTCATTTTCTCACAGTTTACTTCTAATTGCCGAAGTTCACCCCAGCTTATTACTTCCGAAAATATAATAAACTCATCTACTGGTTACTGACTGCAACTTTATCGAATAAGAAAAACCGCGCAAACTGACTGTAGAGGAAAGTGTCTTGGACACTTATCAAAATTGCCCGTTTTATCAGTCCACAAATATGAGCACGGTCCTCCCGGCTCGACATTCTGAGGACACCGGCGATGCTGTGAAATTTGCGTCAAATTTTTAGAATTTCAATGCTACGAATGCTAAGTAACGTTGTGTGCTAGCTGGAGGCGCTAAGCTGAAACTTTAGGAAGGCAAGACCGAGTTCTATGTTCCCGAATTTTTTAGCTTCCTTGCTTTTAAAGCTTTAAATTTTAACCGAGCGGACAAGCAAAATTTCAATTTTCAAGCCTTTACAATTTTTAAATTGGATCTGTACACACAGATATAACCTTTAAATATTGCATTTTTTTAATAGTATACAAAGAAATATAAAAAATCGAGCACAAAATTATGATTAAAACGAACAAAATAATAACGCCTAAAGAAAATGAATGGCTTTTGGATGAAAAATGAGGAGATCGAAGTGACTACTACAATATCAAAGTGTTGAAAATGGCTAGCATAAAAAGGTAGGTTGCTGCAGTTGATGATGAGCTTCCCCTCATTGGCGGCGGGCAATCCTGAAAACATCATTTTTGCAGCACTTAAGTATTATTTAAGATAGTAAAGAATCCCAGGGAATAAAACAAAATCTCTTCTGACCAAAATTTTAGAACTGTTCTCGTTTCAATTGGAGGACGCAAAAACAGTTGCTCCTACTTTTTTTAGAAGCGCATGAAATTTGAAATGTTTAAATTGTAGTGGACGGGGAACAGATTTCTTGGACAAATTTCTGTTTTTCTAATTTTTGGACTTTCTTATTTACTGTGTTATGGTCCCAATCGGTACGGTATCTCGTTATAGCCCAAGATTGGCAGTGTTCGAGACGAAGCAGTGATACCCAACACGCATTAGCAACAATGTAAAACCGTTAGGCTCTTAAAAAACAGAAGCGATTTCAAAGAATTTGAACTGATAAAGCAACTGTTCTGAACTAACCTTGCTGGCATCGCGGGCCGCCACTTCATTCTTGATCTGAAAACTATAGTTGGTTCAAAAATGCGTGCATGTGAATGAATTCTAAAGCCACTTTTGTGACAGGCAATAACACGTTTACTATTTAAACGCAGTGGAAACAGGCAAAATGAAAAAAAAAATGTAACGATAGTTGCGCCAGACTCAATTTTCTACGTCTCGTTGATAAGCTTCGATGGTAAATTTGACTGATAAGTTAATCATCGTATCTGCAAGCAGTCCTCAGAAGAGGGATCTATAGTCAACTTTGTGAAAAAAAATTTTTTTATTAGCGGGTTCTTTCGCTTGGACTATTGCGAAAAACCTTTGCCAATTTCAGGAAGTAAACTTGAGTGGGTTTTGACTTTTGAATTGTATAAAAAATTTTCAAGCACAACGAAAATAAACACACGCTGCTTTGATGCGATTGCTTATCTGGTCCAGCAG